AAAAAAACGCCATCGCTCCACACCCCCCGGGCCAAAAAAAAAAAATTCAATCAAAAAAAAAAAAAAAAAAAAAAAAGATTAGGTTCTTTAGGGTGGGTGTGGTGGCTCACACCTGTAATCCTAGCACTTTGGAAGGCTGAGGTGGGAATCAGCCTCAGGATTGAGACCACTTGAGGTCAGGAATTTGAGACCACTCTGGCCAACATGGTAAAACCCTTGTCTCTACTAAAAATAAAAAAAAAAAAATTAGCCAGCAGGTGGGGAGGCATGCCTGCAGTCCCACCTACTGGGTAGGCTGAGGCAGGAGAATCACTTGAACCTGGGAGGAGAAGGTTGCAGTAAACCAAGATGGCACCACTGCACTCCAGGCTGGGCAACAGAGTGAGATTCTGTCTCAAAAAAAAAAAAGATTAGGTTCTTAAAGGGGAATTCATAAGGGTGAGGCTTAGGGGGAGTGGAGTAGTAAGCCTGAGTCCTGGTAAAGGAGCAGGGCCCTGGCGCCCACTCTAAGAGCAGGCACACAGGAAGGTTCGTAATACCACACTTCAGGATCTGGAGGAACATGCAGAATGTCCTGAGAACAGTGAAGTGAATGATTCCTTGTATGTTTAGGGGTCTGGAGGTGATGTTTGGGCTGGTCTTTAAAAGATGATCATAACTTACTCAGGGAAGGGTGACAAGCATTACAGACTAAGAGACCACATTAGGTAGTTATAGAGACAGGGCATTTATGCCAGAACTGTCTCATTTTTCCCATTCTCTTCCTTAGAATGAAAACCTACAACTTAGGTGGCTACATGGTAGGCTGGAATAAACACCATTTCCCTGTGTCCCTTGCAGCTAACAAGATCTGCCCCAAGTGATATAAGCAGAGGTGTTAGGTGTCAGTTTCTTAGGAACTTCTTTTTTTTTTTTTTTTGGAGATGGAGTCTTGCTCTTTCGCCCAGGCTGAATGGAGTGCAGTGGCATGATCTCAGCCCACTGTAACTTCTGCCTCAGCCTCCTTAGTAGGTGGGATTATAGGTGCCTGCCACCACACCCAGCTAGTTTTTGTATTTTTAGTAGAGACAGGTTTCACCATGTTGACCAGCCTGGTCTCAAACTCCTGACCTCAGGTGATCCGCTGGCCTTAGCCTCTGCTGGGATTACGGGCATGAACCACCATGCCCGGCCTAGGAAACTCTTTAAAATATAGCTGGCCTGCATCCTGTACCTTTTTCTTTCCCTTCTACCTTCCTTATAACTGGGATACAGACACGATTCCTGGAGTTTGCCAAGCTACCTTTGACTGTGTTGATGGAACAGCAACAAGATCAAAGGAGCCTGGCTCCCTGACCCCCAGAATCCCCAACTGCCTACCTTAGGACTTGCTTTACATAGGAAATAAGCTTCTGTCTGATTCAGGCCCTCGTATTTGGGGTTTCACTGAACCTAATCCTAGGTAAACCACATTCAATGATTATTTTGGGGGATGGGAGGACAGAGTTTTGCTCTTGTTGCTCAGGTTGGAGTGCAATGGCATGATCTCGGCTCACTACAACCTCCACCTCCCGGGTTCAAGTGATTCTCCTGCCTCAGCCTCCTGAGTAGCTGTGATTACAGGTGCCCGCTACCATGCCCAGCTAATTTTTATTTTGTATTTTTAGTAGAGATGAGGTTTCACTGTGTTGGCCAGGCTGGTCTCTAACTCCTGACCTCGGGTGATCCACCTGCCTCGGCCTCCCACTGTGCCCAGCCCATTCAATGATTTAACTTAGATTGAAATCAGTTCATTCAATCAGAAGCTGAAAAGGGGACTTGTGGCAGTTTATGATTCCCAGCTAAGGAATTTGGGCTTTATTATGTTGGCAGTAAGGAGCAAAAGATTTCTGAGCCAGAAGATCAGAACTGTGCTTTGGAAAAATGCATCCAGCACTAGCCTGGAGGACAGTTTGGAGGAGGGAAGCACTAAAAAAAGGGATTCCCAGGTTCTGAATTTCAGATAGGTAAGCCCACCCCGCCCCCTTCCACTAAATTTCAAAGACCAACTAGGGTTTGCCTACATTTAAGAGGCCAGCATTGGAAAGGAAACAGAAAAAAACAGAATGTCAAAAGAGAATCTGACGTAAGATGGATCCTTTCTTCTCTACAAGTGCAGGAGATTGTTTTTAATTTTCAGTCAGTCCAGGCATAGTGGCTCACACCAGCACTTTGGGAGGCCAAGGCGGGCAGATCACTTGAGCCAAGGAGTTCAAGACCAGCCTGGGCAGCATGGGGAGACTCCATCTCTACAAAAATACAAAAATTGGCCAGGCGTGGTGGCTCACACCTGTAATCCCAGCACTTTGGGAGGCTGAGGCGGGCGGATCACCTGAGGTCACGAGTTCAAGACTGGCCTGGTTAACAGTGAAACCCCGTCTCTACTAAAAATATAAACATTAGCTGGGCGTGGTGGTGGGCGCCTGTAATCCCAGCTACTAAGGAGGCTGGGGCACAAGAATTGATTGAACCTGGGAGTCGGAAGTTGCAGTGAGTTGAGATCGCACCACTACACTGCAGCCTGGGCAACAGAGCAAGACTCCATCTCAAAAAAAAAATTTTTTTTTAATTACCTGGATGTAGTGGCGCATGCCTGTAGTCCCAGCTACTTGGAGGCTGAGGTGGAAGGATCACTTGAGCCCAGGAAGTCAAGATTGCAGTGAACTGAGATCAAGATGGAGCATCAAAGCACGACTGTCTCAAAAAAAATTCAGAATGAATCATCTCTGTGGAGCCGTGACAGCTCTTCTGGCCCACTAAGCAAATATCTTTCTTTTAAATGGCTAAAGGAGGATTCCTTCACTCCAGAGATTAAAAGAAGACAAATAGGGCTGGGCACTATGGCTCACGCCTATAATCCCAGCACTTTGGGAGGCCAAGGCGGGATCATGACATCAAGAGTTCAAGACCAGCCTGACCAACATAGTGAAACCCTGTCTCTACTAAAAATACAAAAATTAGCTGGGCATGGTGGTGTGCACCTGTAATCTTAGCTACTCAGGAGGCTGAGGCAGGAGAACTAGAGGTTGAGGTGAGCTGAGATCGTGCTACTGCACTCCAGCCTGGGTGACAGAGCAAGACTCCATCTCCAAAAAAAAAGAAGACAAATAGGCATTACCTCCTAAACAAAAGCTTGAGCTTACTTAAAGCCCTGCAGCTTCATGACTCTGCCACCTCTTCCTGTCCTCTTCTGGGACCATCCACCCAGAAGACTATCTGTAGCTGCTGCATAACATTGGTAAATGGAGGCCGGGCGCAGTGGTTCACTCCTGTAATCCCAACACTTTGGGAGGCCAAGACAAGCAGATGACCTGAGTCAGGAGTTTGAGACCAGTCTGGCCAAAATAGTAAAACCCATCTCTACTAAAAATATAAAATTTAGCCAAGCATGATGGCAGGCCCTGTAATCCCAGTTACTAGGGAGGCTGAGACTCTGTTGCAAAAAAAAAAGAAAAAAAGGTAAACAAATCCTTCCCATGATCCTTGAGGCCCCTCAATATCGCCTCTCCCAAGAGTTCTAGACCAGCCTGGCCAACGTGAAACCTCATCTCTACCAAAAATACAAAAATTACCTGGGCGTGGTGGTATGCACCTGTAGTCCCAGCTACTTGGGAGGCTGAGGCAGGAGAATCGCTTGAACCCAGGAGGCAGAGGTTGCAGTGAGCTGAGATCACACCATTGCACTATAGCCTGGGCAACGGGAGCAAAACTACGTCTCAATAAATAAATAAATATATATATTAGCTTAGCCTGGTGGCATGAGCCTATAGTCCCAGCTACTTGGGAGGCTAAGGCAGGAGAATGGCTTGAACCTTCAGGAGGCAGAGTATATATATATACATACATTGATAAATATATTCTGTCTTGGGAGATGAGATAATTATACCCACTCTCCTCAGGGGAAGACTGAAGCTCAGAAGAAAAAAGCTTTTGCAGCCGGGTGCAGTGGCTCACTCCTGTAATCCCAGCACTTTGGGAGGCTGAGGTGGGCAGATCACCTTGAGGTCAGGAGTTCAAGACCAGCCTGGCCAACATGGTGAAACCTTATCTCAACTAAAAATACAAAAAAAAATTAGGTGTGGTGACTCACACCCATAGTCCCAGCTACTCTGGAGACCGAGGCACGAGAATCACTTGAACCCAGGATTTGGAGGTTGCAGTGAGCCGAGGTCACACCACTGCACTCTAGCCTGGGCAACAGAGTGAGACTCAGTGTCAAGAAAGAGAGAGAGAGAGAGAGAGAGACGGAAGGGAAGGAAGGAAAGGAAGGAAGGAAGGAGGGGAAAAGAAAGAGAAGGGAGGGAGGGAGGAGAGGGGAGGGGAGGGAGGGAGAGAGGAAGGAAGGAAGCAAACAAGCAAGCAAAGAAGCTCTTGCATTAACCTATGTGTGCCAGGCATTGCTGTCCTTGTGCATGGAAACTCTCAGAACACCCTCCAACCCCATGCTTATTGTCAGGCACCATGCCCTGAATAGAGCACTAGACCAAACCAGAGCAGCTGGAAATGGTGGAGCAGAGAAGGCTCCATCCTGGAACAGCATCTGCTCTCATCGGAAGGCAGGAACATTCCTGGGAAGACAGCAGGGCTAGCTGAAAGGTAAGTGGAAAGGAGACACTGGCACCTTCTGAAAGAGAAGAAAGAGCTTCTTACAACTTTCCCATGTCATTGATATATTAATGTCACCGCTTTACAGAAGCCGAAGCCTCTGAGAGATGTAAAGTGAGTTGTTCCAGATCACACAGCAGGCAGCAGAGCTGACACTAGAAGCCAGGTCCCCTGACCATGTCTGGTCACTACCCCAGACAGTCCCAACTCTTTTGGCCCCACAGGTGGCCTTGGAAGTCCCCCTTTCTCAAGACTCCTTGATTTTGTCATTGACATGTCAACTGTAAGAGAGTTCAAATTTCCCTGAGTCTGTGTCTCGTGGGGAGGCGTGAGAAAAAGGCAGAAGCGGGAGGGTATTAAAGTAGTCCAGGTAAGAGATTCTTTTTTTTTTTTTTTTTTTTTTGAGACGGAGTTTCGCTC